ATTTATACATTTTCATTGCAAATCAAATGTTCTTTCAAATAAGGAATAAAAATAATAATAATTTCCAACTTTAGATGATCAAGGAATTGGTAGAATGTATGAACAAGTACTTATACGAGTTTTTAATATCGTAGGCTTTTTTTAGTTTTGATTTTGGGCAAACTTTTTAAAGTTGCAAATATTTTTCTCCTCGATATAGACCTCTTCAGCAAAAGGGGCTAAAGATTAAAATCCATTAAAGATTTCTAACATTTTTGCTTTAATTTGACTTAACCTGAGAACTTTAGAATGATGAATATCAGGATTAATGCTAATCCTCTGTTTTTGCTAATCTCGAGACTAACATAATAGTCTCGAGATTATGTTAGTCTTGAGATTAAATATCTAGATCAACAAATTGGATTCTAAGAACGCCAGATTGGTTCTTTTTCCTGACTGGAAGGGCATTCACTTAATTTCTCACCCATTTATTTATTAAAACATTAGTTAAAATTGGTTACAAAAGAATCTCAAACGTATTATTAAATATTTTTCATCATCGATTAATTTACAAAATGGCCGACAACAAATTCTTGATTTGTGGATTTCTCACATGGGATAGAATTTTTTTTCAAGGTTGTCATTAGTCAATACAATTTACGAACTATATTCCTGCACTCTCATTGGAGAAAATAATGTATGGAAATCCAAAGAAAGAGAAAAAGAGTGGATTAAGGACTAAAATTAAAAGTTTCCACAGTGGATATTCGGATTAAGTTGTCGGGATTAAAGGTTATCCATTCTAAAGTTCCCAGCTCTGATTAAATAATGTTTGTTCTTCTCTTGTTATTAATCTCTAGATTAATTAACCGATCGGGATTAAGGATATCCCATTTTAAAGTCTTCAGCTTTGATTCAGTTAGAATTAAACATGTCATGTTGAACAATTTAAATCCAATAATATTCCATTACGACTCTGCAAATTAAACTTTTCTCTTTTATCTGTTGCGCGTGAATAAACAGCTGATATCAATCAGTGATATCACGCAATTTTTACCAATCCTGTACAGTACAACTAGAACTGGTTCCAACCGTCCTCTGGCCCGCAGATCTCTAGGGAAATCCGCGGATATCTAGCCTCGAAAATCCGCGGGAAAGAATAATACAAAACTAGGACTCTCACAATCTAAGTTTCAGTTCTCACGGATCTTCTCAGACCGGAAGAGCAACCTGAAGGAAGACAACCGGAATAGAGGAACTTACAAAAATACACAACAGAGAACTTTAAGAGGATGCTTTGACCAGGAGAAACTTAAACGACCATTAGAGGTAAGCTTGAAAGTTACATTTAACCTTTAAAATAATTCAAAAAATTGTTAGATAAGTTAAAATTTGATCCCGTAGATACTTTTATTCTGCTAGTGCAAACAGTTAAAGTAGTAGGATATAAAAGTAAAAGAAAATTTGAATTCGGGTGATCAAATCCTCTTATTCCCCCCCCCCCACTATAAAAATATAAATCTTAAATTTTCAAATAAGTTAAAAAACTTGTCAACTTTGCATAGATTTTTGCCCAAATGCCTTTAAAAAGAATTTGCGTATTTTCCATTTTCTTTGAATACAAATTTACTTTTTGAAAATTTTGCAAATATTTTTGCATATTTGAATTCGCCATGGCAAGGGCTTTTCAAAAATGTATAATTTATCACATTTTGCGTTTTTACTTTTTGCATAATTTGCTTAATAACTAAATATTGGAATAAATATTTGAACTTTTGCAGATTTGCAAATTTTTGCAGATTATTAAAAGTTAGTTTGGATAAACCAGAAGTCAGCCTGAATGGGTTAAAATACCTCCATAAAGTATAAACACTGCTTATAATAAGTATGAAAAGTAAATATTTAATGAACATGTATATTGTGTATTGACCTAAATCCAAAACGATATTTAACGTCATTATAAACTACTTAATACATGACATAATTGAATTGTTTTAATAGAAATAAAATTCTGAACATGAATATTGAAATTAGCTAATCAATGAATACCAAACCTTGTCAATAAACACCAAACATTGTCAATAAACACCAAATCTTGTCAATAAACACCAAACCTTGACAATAAACACCAAACATTGTCAATAAACACCAAATCTTGTCAATAAACAACAAACCTTGTCAATAAACACCAAACATTGTCAATAAACACCAAACCTTGTCAATAAACAACAAACCTTGACATTAAACACCAAACCTTGACAATAAACACCAAACCTTGTCAATAAACAACAAACCTTGTCAATAAACACCTAACTTTGTCAATTTACGTCAAACCTTGACGATAAATATTAAACTTTGTCAATGAACGTCAAACCTTGTCAATAAACACCTAACTTTGTCAATGAACGTCAAACCGTGTCAATGAACGTCAAACCTTGTCAATAAACATCAAACCTCGTTAATAAACACAAATATAATTTGTCAATGAAAACCAAACCACGTCAATAAACACCTATCATTGTCAATAAATATCAAACATTGTCAACAAAGCCTTGACAATGAACACCAAACCTTGTCAATGAACTTCAAAACTTGTCAACGAAACCTTTTTAATGAACACCAAACCTTTTCAATGAACACCAAACCCTGACAATGAACACCAAACATTGTCAATGAACACCAAACCTTGTCAATGAACACCAAACCTTGTCAATGAACACCAAACCTTGTCAATGAACACCAAATCTTGTCAATGAACACTAAGCATTGTAAATAAACACAAAACCTTGTTAATGAACACCAAACATTGTCAATGATCACCAAATCTTGTCAACAAAATTTTGTCAATGAACACCAAACCTTGCCAATGAACACCAAACATTGTGAATGAACGGCAAAATAAAAAGCAATTTTAAAATTCAGAGACATTATTCTGCCTACCAATTTCCATTTCTACTCCCGAAGCCTTAAAAGTACAATTGTTATATTTAGGAATCGATCTATAACTCTTTGATCTAAAGGGAATCTGATCTAAAAGAATTTGACCTACGTGGACTTTGATCTAAAAAAAAAGTTCAAATTCGAATTCTGTTCCGGAAAATTGTGGAATTTGATCTTAAACTTAAATTTCAAATAAAACATATTTCTGCCCGAAAAGTTATGAATATAGATATTTTTAGTCAAATTAAAAATTGTTAGATCAGAGTCTACACTTTTTAGATCAGAGCCTACACTTTAAAGATCAAATTCCATATTTTCAGAAAAAAAATCATAATTTTTCGATCGAGATTTGAGGTAAAAGTGTCATATAACAAATTTTATTTTTGAAAACAAACATTTTAGATCAGATTCTGTATATTTGAGATCAGATTCCAAAAATTGTCAGAAAAATGGTCTGTTTTTAGACAGCCAAATATACGACTTTTATAACCTTGCTTCTTTTTTCAAAGCCATACTAATTTTACCCACAAAAAATAATTAAGATGCAGACACCGTCATTTTTGCGTTTAGCGCACAATCAACTTCCCAATCTTATAAATTGTGAAAAAGTATTGAAAAATAAGAAATCTATTGTTTGTTTAGATAATTGAGATGATAATGTCTGTAAAGTTAGAGTGCCGGGGTAAGGTGAATTGTGTCCAGGAGTGTGCAGGCTGCGGAAAGAAAATACATGATAAACATGTTTCCCTAAAATACATGATAAACATGTTCTAAAGGCAAGATAACATATTTTCTAAATCTCTCCGAAAACAAATTTTGGAGAAAAAAATTATTTAAAATTCGGTGATGGTGATGGAGAAAACCTCTGCAGAGTAAAAAAAGTAGATGTTAGTTTCACATTTATTGAAAATATATTTTGGTCTGGGTTGACACTCGTCAGTTCTTGAGATTGTTTCTGTCACAAAGATTAAAAACAAATAATCGTTTAAATCAGTGAAATTATATTTTCGTCTTTTACATTTTAATTTGAATGCCAATTCCTTTTAATAATTTTGTTTAGTTAAAGTAAGCCCAAACTAAAAATTATTGTAAACAAGTGAAAAATTTGATTATATTAACATTTGAGAATATATTTTTAGTAATGAGGCAATTTGAAAGTTACAATTTCCAATATTCATGAAATGGTAAAAAATAGGGTCTGCAATCGATGGTAATGATACATTTACTTTATAAGAAAATGTATAAACACACAAAACTTTATCTTTGGATTTTCGTATTGAATATGCACTTGTTTTAAATATGTAATAATATTTTAAACTTTGTACATCAATTTTTTAATCTTAAATGAAATTGCACTGGCATAAACCTGGCCGCCTAAAAGTGAATGCTCCAGGCTCCTGCTACAGTACACTGAACACTGTACATAAACTATATATATATTTAGGCACTAGACATGAACTGGCATGAAGACTGCCTGAAATATGGATGCTGTGACTGTACACTGTACATAATCTATATATATATATGTTGGCACTAGATATGTACTAGCATGAAGACTGCCTGAAATGTGGCTGCTGTGACTGTACACGTACACTGTACATAAACTATATATATATAAATATATTTAGGCACTAGATATGGACTGGCATGAAGACTGCCAGAAATGTGGCGGCTGTGACTGTACACTGTACATAATCTATATATATTTAGGCATTAGATATGTACTGGCATGAAGACTGCCTAAAATGTGGCTGCTGTGACTGTACACTGTACATAAACTATATATATATTTAGGCACTAGATATGTACTAGCATGAAGACTGCCTGAAATGTGGCTGCTGTGACTGTACACGTACACTGTACATAAACTATATATATATATAAATATATTTAGGCACTAGATATGTACTGGCATGAAGACTGCCTAAAATGTGGATGCTGTGACTGTACACTGTACATAAACTATATATATATATATATATATATATTTAGGCACTAGATATGGACTGGCATGAAGACTGCCTGAAATGTGGCTGCTGTGACTGTACACTGTACATAATCTATATATATTTAGGCATTAGATATGTACTGGCATGAAGACTGCCTAAAATGTGGCTGTTGTGACTGTAGACTAGGGGAGGTTGGTCACTCTCTTTATACCAAGGGAAACCTAATTCTCTGTAAAAGAGATTATCTTCGTCTTTTTGGGTCTACTGGGTACTGTGCAGCTTGTAATAAGGTAATATACTGTACACTACAGTACACTGCAGTACACTGTAGTACACTGCAGTACAGTAGTACACTTTATTACACTGTTCACTGCAGCAAACTGTATATATTTTACACTGTAGTAAACTGTATGTACTGTACACTTTTTTACACTGTCGAATGTACTGTAAAATGCAGTACACTGTATATACTGCACACTGCAGTACACTGTATATACTGCACACTGCAGTACACTGTATATACTGCACACTGCAGTACACTGTATATACTGTACACTTCAGTGCACTGTATATACTGCAAACTTACACTGCATATACTTTACACTTAAGTAAACTGTATATACTGTACACTAAAGTACACTGTATATGCTGCTTTCAAGCATTTTCCAAATTACAAAATGTTTAAATAAACAAAGAAAAACTGTTAATTGACTCTTTCTTTTTGTTTACATGTCTAAATTTGTCTGCTTTTGGTAGAAATCAAAATTGAAAAAATATTATTGATTTAAACAACTCGAATTATATTAAATTATTTCAGGTGATTCCAGCGTTTGAAATGGTAATGCGAGCTAGGTCTAATGTTTACCATCTAGAGTGCTTTGCTTGTCAGCAGTGTGGACACAGGTAAATATTTACCCTTGCTTGTCAGCAGTGTGGGTATTGGTAAACATTAAATCTTGCTTGTCAGCAGTGTGGATCAGGTAAACACTTACCCTTGCTTGTCAGCAGTGTTGACACAGGTAAACAATTACCCTTGCTTGTCAGCAGTGTGGGTATTGGTAAACATTTACTCTTGCTTGTCAGCAGTGTGGACACTGGTAAACAGTTACCCTTGCTTGTCAGCAGTGTAGACACGGGTAAACAGTTACCCTTGCTTGTCAGCAGTGTAGACAAAGGTAAACATTTACCCTTGCTTGTCAGCAGTGTGGACACAGGTAAACATTTACCCTTGCTTGTCAGCAGTGTGGGTATTGGTAAACATTTACTCTTGCTTGTCAGCAGTGTGGACACAGGTAAACAGTTACCCTTGCTTGTCAGCAGTGTAGACACAGGTAAACAGTTACACTTGCTTGTCAGCAGTGTAGACACAGTTAAACAGTTAGCCTTGCTTGTCAGCAGTGTAGACACAGGTAAAAATTTACCCTTGCTTATCAGCAGTGTGGACACAGGTAAACATTTATCCTTGCTTGACGGCAGTGTGGGTATAGGTTAACATTTACTCTCCTTGTCAGAAGTGTAGACACAGGTAAACATTTACCCTTGCTTATCAGCAGTTTGGGTAAGGTTAACATTTACTCTACTTGTCAGCAGTGTCGACACAGGTAAACATTTACCCTTGCTTATAAGCAGTTTGGGTATAGGTATACATTTACCCTTACTTGTCAGCAGTGTGGGTATAGGTAAACATTTACCCTTGCTTGTCAGCAGTTTGGGTATAGGTAAACATTTACCCTTGCTTATCAGCAGTTTGGGTATAGGTAAACATTTACCTTTTCTTGTCAGCAGTGTGGGCACAGGTAAACATTAACAATTGATTGTCAGCAGTGTGGGCACAGGTAAACATTTACAATCGATTGTCAGCAGTGTGGGCAAAGTTAAACATTTACACTTGCATATCAACATATGGATTGTGGGCACATGTAATATTTCTTTATTAATATTAATGTTTTGTTTGAAGATTTTGTGTCGGCGATCACTTCTACCTTTACGAGAACAAGATTCTTTGTGGGCCTGACTATGAGGTATTAATATTCCTTTATCTATAAATGTATATACTTTGTCTGTCAGTCTGTCCATTTGTATCCATCCATTTGTATCCAATAGACGTCAAAACGGCTGAACAGATAAAGGTCCAGAATTTCGTATCGGACCTCAAATGGCCCCATGAATTACAAAATTACAAATATTTGGGTCCAAAAGTCTTTGATTATTGTAATCGAAAATGCGCGAAAAAAAGTTTATCTTGAATCCGTGAAAGTTTATTTTATTTTATTCTATATTGTACAATGAGAAGATAAATTATAAAAGCATATAATTCAAACCTAAATTTGATTATTATCATTAAGCATCATTATGCATTAGACAACCATAATGAATGAGTTAAAAATGAAAATAGCTGAAGGGCCCGGCTCTGCCTGTGGAATTATAAAAAAATCGAAAAAAATTGATTTTTGAAGATAAACAATTTCGATTAAGAAACAATTTTGATTTAAAAATAAATTGGAATTTGAAAAAAATATTAAAGAATATGAAATTAATGAATATTAAATTAATAAATATACAACTAATGAATATGCAATTAATGAATATGCACAATATGCTGTATGCAACCTATGAATGTGTAATACATGTATTTGCTATCTGAAGGCAAAATAAGCTTTCAAAATAAATACTCCTAATCTCTTCTATTTTATTCTAGGAGAGAATGGTGTTTGCTAATCTCTCATCCAACCCGTCCCAACTTGCTCAAATCAAATCTCAAACCAGGAACCTACCCTACCCATCACATCAACCAGGGCACCAGACCTACCCTCTACCCTACCATCTCCCCCCGCAACAATCTAAAGATATGACGCCCCTGCCACCGATTTCCTCGGTCCGAACAAATTCCCGTATTCTTCAGGCCTGAAAATCCGGGAATATGAAAGTGTACCACTTTGTACTCAAAACATTCTTAATATGGAAGGGCACACTTTGTACTCAATTCATTCTTAATACAATGTATAGATGTTACTTAAGAACAACATATCAATATAGACCAAAAATACTTTCAGTTCAAATGTACTTAAAAAGTAAAAAAAAAAAAAAAAAAACAGTGAATAAATTATAGTTCTTACTTACTTTACGGTCAGAACACTTTGTATTACTAGATCTAAGAAAATCAATACATGTTACCGTGCATTTAATTATGTAATGTGTTTTTATACACTTTTGGTATTTTATTATACAATTATAAGTTTAGTTGCAAATTTATTATACTTAGACACTTTATTTCTTCTCTTCAGAAAGAGAAAGTTTTTTTTAAATTTTAGTTCAACTATTTTATTGCACCATTTCTGTAGTAGCATAAAACTTAGAAGTATAAATTATAATTTTCTCAAAAAAATATTCTAGAATATAAGAATTTTATACGATATCTACGAAAAAAACTTATTGTACAACACAAGGCATTCCTTCTGTAATCTTTATTGTGATCCTTTAATTGAAATATTTAATAATTAATGATAAAATAAACAATAAATAACTGTTGTAATCAAGTGGGTTTAAAAAGATAGATTAACATGCTGAAACCCCTGCTTTAAACTTATTTATTCGGTTGAGAACATTATTGTTGGCGCCCCTGGCACCTTCTGTAAATAATTCATCTGACATCTAGCACCCCGGACTAACCAGAGTGAGAAGCATTCGGTTTCATCTATTTGAAATTAAACATGTTTTGGTCCATGAGGCAACAATCTTTTAATTTACGGATTTGTTGTTCAAAACTTTTTCACTCAAAATGCATATGCCGACAAAAAAGTATTTAAGAATAATGGCTAAAATATTATGTTTAATGGGTCAAATTGTGATCGAAAGTCACAGTTATCGGGAGTATTGGTAGAACCTTTAAATCTACGTGATCTTCTATTTTCTTTGATTTTTTATTATATATCCGTGGATTTCTTTTGTGTTGTATGGCTTTACACTATGAAACAAATCTGAATTCCTCATTTTGTTTGAATTATCCAACCGAAACCATTTCGAAAGTATCCTTCCTCTAGTGATCCTCCCTCTAATGATCCTCCCTCTAGTGATCCTCCCTTTAGTGATCCTCCCTCTAGTGATCCTCCCTTTAGTAATCCCCCCCTAGTGATCCTCCCTCTAGTGATCTTCCCTCTAGTGTTCCTCCCTCTAGTGATCCTCCCTTTAGTGATCCCCCCTCTAGTGATCCTCCCTTTAGTGATCCTCCCTCTAGTGATCCTCCCTTTAGTAATCCCCCCCCCTAGTGATCCTCCCTCTAGTGATCTTTCCTCTAGTGTTCCTCCCTCTAGAGATCCTCCCTCTAGTGATCCTCCCTTTAGTGATCCCCCCTCTAGTGATCCTCCCTCTAGTGATCCTCCCTCTAGTGATCCCCCATCTAGTGATCCTCCTTCTAGTGATCTTCTTTCTAGCGATCCTCTATGCAAAGATTGCAATGCCTGATAAACAACGGTGCCCTTAATCGCTTTCTCTTCCGAAGCATAAATTAGATATTCATAATTTTGTTTATTTTAACTGTTATTTCTAATTTGTGGTCTCTCTGTGAAAATGACTTACGAAACTTACTTTAGGATGGAGCTATTCACAGAAATAAACACATTTCGTTATGAAAAACGACAATATATTCCACATTTTTGATCAGATTAAGATTTGAACGGTATAGTTGTAAATCGGACATTTATCCATTTAGGGTCCTTTTAAATTACGCTTACAGTCCCTTTAATCTAACACCGCGAATGTATTCCTCGTCTTGTGCTTGGTTTCCTTTATTGTAAAAATTTGTCTTATAAAATAATAGAAATATTCAGAACTAAAGATTGTAAACATCAGATTGATTTTTATTTGGTTAGTTGAAACCAAGGTTATAATACAAGGAACGTTATTTCAGAGGTTTACGCATCTTTGGTACTGCTGTGTACTGTCTCTCGGCGGTAAAATGTAAACACAAGACGGATGTTTAAGCCTGACATGGGATCCATCTTTCACATAAAAATCAAAGAAATATTCTGGTCATAGGAAACTATTATGTGAATTATCAAAATGTAATGCTTTTATAACCTCCTCGAATACTAAACGAACACTGGTGCCAGGCGCGAAGTGGAGGGGGGGGCCGGTACCTCTGTGCCCCCCCTAGACACGCACCCCCATATTGATATTGATATCTGCTCAATATTATTCCACTATTTGAAGGAACTCCAAGATGATATTTGTAAAATATAGTTCAGTGTCCCACTCCCAGACAATCAATAAATTATTAATCAACAAGAGAGGGGGAAATTAAGTTGAGGCGGGGGAAATAATAGTGATGTGTGGGGGGATGTAGATCAGGAGGGGTAAAGGCGGGTGATGTAAGGAGCGGACGGGGGGGGGGAATTCCATAATCTGGTTAGAGCATGAGCAATCACATCAGATGCTTACATCCAATTATTGAATTGGGAACTTACATATAAGTCTATCTTAAATGCGCCTTTTCACCAATTTTGTATTTTTGTTTTACACTTTCAATTTTGTTTCACTTTTTTATTAACAAGGCTACTAAAAAAAATTTGAAATCTAATTATTACATTTTTTCCTTACGCATGGGCGCATTTGAGTTTAGTCTTGGGTTGGATCAGGAAAACTTTCATCTAATTGAAAAAAGCACTCAGAATATATCGAGAAAGAAGAACTAAGGACTCGTATAGGAATTCCCAAACCTATTACTAGAATTGCTTGTTGTACTATACATATATACAATAGGAAATATACTACTTCGGTTAAATCAGATAATTACAGTGAGAACCAGAAAACTCTGGAAGAAGATGACTTTTAAACGCAAGTTATGACTTTAAATAGTCCAATGAACATGAGACACATCAATTGTGCAGTGTTACCAGATCCAATTCTCTAGACAAGTGAGGTAATAAGTCTCTAGTAAAACTATTTGCTTTGTAACTACATGAAATGCACTTTAGTTTCGCTGTAAAGTCGTCTTCCTATTCCACAGTTTTCTGGTTCTCGTTCCAGAAAATTATAATATTAACATAAATGTTCTGTAAAAACGTTTTTAGAAACCTAGATGGGCATCGTCTTTGTGAACGAACAATTTTACTCAAACAAACGAAATTTTTCCTAAACAATGGTAACGATAAACGAACGATTTAGATATTTCACAGAAAATAAAAACGAATGAAAAAAGAACTATTCAAAATTGTTGACGATCGTTCGCATTTTTAAGATCATCCAGACCGTGAATAAACGAAAAACTATAGCTTTTTACCGAACGGACGAAATAAAAAGGAAAATGAACGAACATTCTGAAAACAAACGAATTAAAAAAAACATGAACCTAATCTAGGTCGTTGAAATTTAAAAAAAAGCTGAACGTGCTTATCTCTAGCTGCTGAATGCTAAAGGGAGTGTTCGCAAAAAATGAAAGGTGTATAGGCTTACGGCGATAAACAATAGTTTTTGATCGCTACTAATCTTACTTCTATCTGTTAAAAACGACAATACTGCAGAGCATAGCGTCCATAGAAATTGAGAAAGTTGCAAAATATACGACTCGGATCAAAAAACATCAATTTAGTATTAAACAAACCGTTTAGATATTACAACCTATAGTCATTAATTATTTTTTGACGCATTCTTATATTGTTAATATTTCATACAGTGAAACCCTTAATAACGAATACATCGGTAGAATTTATCAAATGTCGTCTTGACAATTTTTCAATGAGTTTTATACTATATTATGTAAATTTCAGTATTTGCGAAAATAAATAAATAGCAATAAATATGCGGGAACAGTTTTAAAGAGTTCCATATAATCATTTAATAAGAAAAACTAGATAACTGCAGCATTCCATTATCAGAAAGTGAAGAATACGACATTTGATGAATTCTTTCGAAGTATTCTTTATTAAGGGTTTCACTGTACATGCTTGGTATTTGTTTTATCTAAAATTCACTCAAAACGACGTTTTTTCGGCTCGCTAGGTGTATCTGCCACGTGTAATCATTCAAAGCATTGAGAGCAGAGACACTTGCAGCGGCCAATTATTTCGGCTTTTTCAGTGCGTTGTATTCAAAATGAGTCGAAAAATAATCTATGACTGTAAGTTGTAATATCTGAATGATTTTTTTAAAATTAAATTGATTTTTTAACGATTCCAGTCGTATGTTGCAACTGTCTGAATTTATATGAACGTTCATTTCTTCAGTATAAGTCGTTTTTAATTGTCAAACTAAAAGGTTTGCGGATTGGAGTGCTTTGCTAATTAGAAAAGTTCAAAATACGATGCAATTTAAATATAATTATTTTGATGATTTTCTCGAATAAAAAGGAAAAATTCAGATAGCTTCTAATAAAAACATTATCTTGCGACTCCCAACTTTGTTACAAATCATTTTTGATTATCGGATCATTACACAAAGTAAAACTTTAAAAAAAAAATCATTTATTCCTGTGAAGGTTGCTTCAAGTTCTAGAAAGCTGGTTTGATGAGAAAATGAATTATCTTGTGTAAATCTTGAAGACAATATCCAATAAAATATTTCATGGATTCCACAACATATATTTTCCAATTTTCTAGCAGAGATTTCAATTAAGATTCCTTTTGTGTAATATCATCAGAGCCTTCTCATAGTCGTGGTCTAGGGTATACCAGAATACATAGGGTATACCAGAATACATAGGGTATACCAGAATACGTAGGGTATACCAGAATACATAGGGTAAATCAGAATACGTAGGGTATACTAGAATACATTGGGTATAACAGAATACATAGGGTAAATCAGAATACGTAGGGTATACCAGAATACATAGGGTAAATCAGAATACGTAGGGTATACCAGAATACATAGGGTATACCAGAATACGTAGGGTATACTAGAATACATAGGGTATACCAGAATATATACTGTATACCAGAATACATAGGGTATACCAGAATACATAGGGTATACCAGAATACATAGGGTATACCTAAATACATAGGGTATACCAGAATACATAGGGTATATTAAAATACATAGGGTATACCAGAATATATACTGTATACCAGACTACATAGGGTATACCAGAATACATAGGGTATACCAGAATACATAGGGTATACCAGAATACGTAGGGTATACCAGAATACATAGGGTAAAACAGAATACGTAGGGTATACTAGAATACATAGGGTATACCAGAATACAAAGGGTATACTAGAATACATAGGGTATACCAGAATACATAGGGTATACCAAAATACATAGAGTATACCAGAATACGTAGGGTATACCAGAATACATAGGGTAAATCAGAATACGTAGGGTATACTAGAATACATAGGGTATAACAGAATACATAGGGTAAATCAGAATACATAGGGTAAATCAGAATACGTAGGGTATACCAGAATACATAGGGTAAATCAGAATACGTAGGGTATACTAGAATACATAGGGTATACCGGAATACATAGTGTATAACAGAATAAAAAGGGTATGCCAGAATACACAGAGTATACCAGAATACATAAGGTATGGCAGAATGCATAGGGTATACCAGAATACATACCGGTATACCAGTATAAATAGGGTATACCAGAATACATAGGGTATACCAGAATATATGCTGTATACCAGAATACATAGGGTATACCAGAATACATAGGGTATACCAGAATGCATAGGGTATACCAGAATAAATAGGGTATACCAGCATACATAGGGTATGCCAGAATACATACCGGTATACCAGTATAAATGGGGGAAACCAGAAAACATAGATTAACCAGAATATAAGGTAAACCTGGACAGAAAAGGTAAACCAGAACAGATAAGATAAACCAGAACAGAATAAGGTAAACCAGATTAGAATAAGGTAAACTAGAACAGATAAGATAAACCAGAACAGAATAAGGTAACCCAGAATAGAATAAGGTAAACTAGAACAGAATAAGGTAAACCAGAACAGAATAAGATAAACCAGAACAGAATAAGGTAAACCAGAACAGATAAGGTAAACCAGAACAGAAAAGGTAAACCAGAACAGAATAAGATAAACCAGAACAGAATAAGATAAACCAGAACAGATAAGGTAAACCAGAACAGAATAAGGTAAACCAGAACAGATTAGGTAAACCAGAACAGATAAGGTAAACCAGAACAGAATAAGGAAAAACAGAACAGATAAGGTAAACCAGAACAGATTAGGTAAACCAGAACAGAATAAGATAAACCAGAACAGATTAGGTAAACCAGAAGATGAAAATGTTATTGCAGTGACATGTGTGTTATACTCACCGACAAACGCTACATTTGTTTTATAAAGTTTTTAAAAAATAGGTCGGCCGCCTATTTAGTCGGAGCAATCTACGACGTTTGAGAAGTGTGTTGGGGGATCAAAGGTATTATGATGAGAAGACAATTAAAACTTTTTTAATTTTCTTCAAGATTTCTAAAACTTTCCTATTAGAAAGTTATATTAAAGATAAACATGTTTAATATTCATGTTAACCCTTTAAGTTCAGGGGGGGGGGTCTTAAAATATTCATGTATAACCACTTCAAAGAGGGGGGTATTAAATTATTTATGCAACCTCTTCAATTTGGATGGGAAAGGGTTTCTTTTTAATTTTACATGTAACCCTTTCAAATTAAATTGTTGGAGGGGGGGGGGGAGGAGGGATAATAATGTGCATGCTTTATAAACTTCATGTTTTAAGGGGGGAGGGGGGTTCTTAAGAATACGCATGTTAACCCCGAGATGGAATTTAAAGAATTTGAGCCGCGGTTTAAATCTGCCAAAACCCGGTTTTAATTAAATGCCGGCTTAAATCTTCAAACATTTGATACAATTTTAAGTGGAACCAGCCATATTTATGCCGCGGCTTAAATTTAAACCGCCGCTCAAATTCTTTTAATGGCCACTTAATGACTTTTCTGAAATCGTTACGTTCTGTTCTAGAACGAGGGCCCTCAGCTAGATCGTTCCGTTCTCGTTCCTTTTTTTCAATCGTTCCGTTCTGTACCCTTCATGATTTTAAACGTTCTTTTCAAAAATTTCTATACCGTTCCTTTAAAAATCGTTCCAACATTTTTAAGAACGCGTTCTATGCGTTCGTTCTTTTTCGGAATGTTGGGATCGTTCTTGATTGTTCCGTTCGTTCTTGTGAAAGAACGATCGTTCACCAGGAACAACGCCCAGCTCTAGTTTTCAGTTTATTATTTTTTGTAGTTCTCAATGTTGTCCACTATACGTCTCAAATTTTAAAATTTAATTTTTGTAGATGATGATGATATTCATTCAGTTCCCTGTAAAGCGTATTTTGTTTTAAAAATAAGGATTCTTGAGATAATTGAAAATAATTGGCAATTAAATTTTTCGTCAGAATTAATCAAATTTAAAAAATTCATTTAAATCAGAGTTGGAATAAGGAGTGCACTATCTTGTTTATCATCATTTACAATTAGGAATTAATTAAAATTCTTCATTTTTAAGATTTTAAAATCTAATGCAAAATTATTAGTACTCTGAGCTCTCTAATTGGTAATAATACGGTATGCACAATGTACATTATACTCAAAAATTTACCAAAGGGCCGAAAAAGGCTTTTTTATTCAATAGATACTCAAATATTTTTTCTTAAGTCTGTACCAATATGTATACCATAGATACAACTCGCACTCGAACTCGCTTGTACGATCAATAGTCTGTATCAATCCAGACAAGACGCTGTTGTATTCTTTAATATGTATCAGTCTTTCAAGAAATAGAACCCGTGCTGACTCTCCGCTATAATACTCAATCTCTATCAATCCAGATAAAACGCTGTTGTATTCTTTAGTATATATATATATTAGAAAAAACATTGAATTTTTTTAGCCTTTGTCACCCCCTGCCTCCCATGAGTATCCACAACAAATTTCAGCCCATTCGGTCCAGCTGTTTGGCCGCCCAGAGCGATATGTTGTTTTATTATATGTATATTGTATAGATATAAGCGTAGAGATTTATCATTTAGAGGAATATATTGTGTTTTAGAGATATTCCATGGACATAATAAAAGCTGAAGTGTGGGTGCTCCAATATCAGAAACAATATCCCTCTAAACTCAACTAGAATTAGCGAATAAGGATTAGCATAAAACAAGGAAGAGCAAGGGTCAGGGAATATATTTTATAGCCATGTAACTAGCTTTCAATTTCTTTCACACATCGAGAGTAACACATTCTAAAGCATTTTAGAGTCAGGTATAATAATAATTACTCAATTTCTTTCACACATCGAGAGTACCGCATTCTAAAGCATTTTAGAGTCAGTTATAATAATAATTACTCAATTTCTTTCACCCATTTAGAGTAACACATTTTTAAACATTTTAAGAGCCAGATGTAATAATAATTACTCAGTTTCTTTCACCCATATAGAGTAACACATTTTTAAACATGTTAAGAGCTAGATATAATAATAATTACTCAATTTCTTTCACCCATTTAGAGTAACACATTTTTAAACATTTTAAGAGCCAGATGTAATAATAATTACTCAGTTTCTTTCACCCATCTAGAGTAACACATTTTTAAACATTTTAAGGGCCAGATACAATATTAATTACTCAATATCTTTCACCCATTTAGATTAAAACATTTTTAAACATTTCGTTTACCCAGTTTTAAGAATTTTGTATGATTTTTCATATTTCTTTTAATTTTTGTTTTCGCACAGTTTTTTGCTTAAACCTATTCCGAATGACGTCTGGTTTAACCAAATTTGCATATTTTAATTATCGCAAAAAACGATGGGGGGGGGGTGTCAAGTATTCTTTGCCATAAACTCAAATTGTCTAATATTATGTCTTTGCGAACTGATGATGATAACCATGATATTTTAAAATTAGGTTATTTAGTCTAACATAATTTATAAATTTCTTTTTTATAGTAAATTCCCCTCTAATATATATTCTATTCTCTTTGATAGAAGGTGTTAACTATTTAATTACCATGGTTTAATGAAAGAGTAAGGAAAAAAAAACTTATTTTATTGTGAGTAAAGAAGTATTGTTTTGGTCTAAAATGTTTAGAATTCTCATAAATCAGGATAAATGTATTATTTATTTACTTGTATGAACTTTAATTGCAAAAGTTTTCGAAACTGAAATGTGACATGAAATAATGTTTTTATATAAAACTTTTTTCCCTCTCTTTTCCGAGTCTATTGTGCTGAAAAGCAAATAAAAACTTGATAAAATATTAAAATTTGCCAAGTAAATTTCCAACAAAATAAAACACTTGGAGAACAAAGCAACAAAGTTAATTGTCTAAAAGCTTTCTTATTATTTAAAGTGGAGACTCGCTGAGTTTGATTAAATTAATATTTCGTAACAAACCATTTATTGAATTAGAATTGAAGTATAAAACCAAAACAAAACTAGTTTCTGCCGGCAGCCAGCCCTCTTAATACATCAACCAAATCAGGGGTTTCCTAAAACATAGATTTAAAATTAATATCTGCTTTTAAACAAATTACATCCAAATATCAAGTATACAATAGTTGTAAACAGAGAAATGAACCAATCATACACGACGTCACAAGTGTCAAATATAACAAGGAAAACGAAATTTTCTTATATTAGTTGACAGGCTTTTTAACCCTATTCCTGCTGGGGGGGGGGGGTCAATTTGACCCCCCCCCTGTAGTTTTTTTACATAACTCTAAAAGTATTGGTCTGGGGCTGTTGAAATTTTCTGACTTTTCCTACATAGCCAAAGCCCTCCCTTTAGGCCTAAAACCGGGCTTTAATACTAACTGCCTGAGTCCTCAGGCACACTACCTGAATGACTGCTTTTTCCTGTAACAAACTAAATCTTTGTTTTGACCCACTTCTACTTGTCAGATTTTGATAAAATTTAGCTTTTTGAAAAGCCCTTGACATAAGGAAACGAATTGCACAAGTTTTGCGAAAAAATGCAAATTTTTTGCAAACAACCTGTCAAAGGAAATTTGCACATTTTTAGTTTTTCTTGATTAAAAATCAGGTTATTTAAAATTTTGCAAAATTATTTGCATATTTGAAATGGCATGGTCAAGGGCTTTTCAAAAATGTATAATTTTTCATTTTTTGGACAAATTTCTTTGCAAACACTTTTACTATATAACTGGATTTTGCGATAAAAAATTCAATTTTTGCAAATTTGCAAATTTTTTTGCAGATTCTAAAAGTAGAGCACAAGAGCTTTCCAATGATATATCATTTGTCATATTTGGGCATCAAACATGGGATTGACCCCCCCTCCCAGCATATCCTGGTTTTCAAGTACCTCAGCAGAGATAGGGTTAAGATTAAATAAAAAAGTGTAAAAGCAGAAAATAAAGAACACATAAAATTGCAATTTTTTTACTTCAAGATGAACACTTATTTCTAAAATTATCACTATTATTAATAATTTTCTTGGACACAAAAACTGAATTGACACTTGTGACGTCAGAACAACTGTGCTGAGAATGTACAAATTTTACGTTGCCATCTATTGTACTAGAATCTATTTGATTACATCAATTTTATCAGAACTAATTTTTTTGAAATCTTTTTTAAAGACAATTACAACTTTATGACTTTCAACCATAAAGCCTGTTTTACTGAATTTGTTCAAATTTTGAAATTACGTTTTTAAATTTTGGGCCATTGCGATGAAAAGTTTTCTTAGTTTTTTCTTAAAAATGTCATTTTTGTAATCTCAAGACATCCATTTATTAGTTGCGTGTAGCCGGCCAAACGGCTTAACCGATTGGCCTGAATTGTTTTGTGGACACTCATGAATGGTCGGGTGGTTGTTAAAGACTAAAAAAATTCATTTTTTAAAAACCTTTTTTTTAATTCAACATTTTTTTTCACGGGCAATGTCGGGCCTTTCAGCTATTATTTTATAAATATTTTCAATATATGTTTGTTCTGACAAAAGTTAACAGCGAACCATTGTGAATCGGACATATAAATTAGTACATATAAATTTATAAACGGATAAACATATTAAATAACGTGTTCAGTTCCTTTAGAGTTTACCTCGATATCCATTAGTTTGTGCATAGTTGAGGCAATCAGTCGAATTTTATCTTTCGACACAAAATCTTTAACTTCTCCTGAATATCAAATTAAAGTAATTATTAAGTTAGATTGAAAGGAATTGAGTCTTTGCCACAAACACTAATTTACTAATCCATATGTCATTGCAGCCCAATGTCGGAGATCTTAGATATTTCAAACTATTTATTCTGTTTGATAAAATAATCTAAGTTTGTAATATCTAAGGCTTACACCATCTGGTTCCAAAAATATAGGAATTTGAAAATTCAAGTTTGTGGCAAAGACTCAATTCCTTTGACATCCTTTTTATCATAACTCCTCTTTTTGAGAAGAACAAATATACAGGGTGTCCCCCTCGAAACATGACAGTTGGTAAATTGTTTAAAATGTCTTCTTCCATAATTTGATAAGTTGTTTGAGACTAATAACATTTTTTATATGACAGTTATATTATTGTAAACATCTTTTTTAAAGCAATAAACTGCAAAAAGTCTTTTATATCTAATTCAGTAAGTGGAAAAAGACATTCAAAACTTACCACCAACTGTCATGTTTCAAGAGAACCCTGTATGTAGACTTTCTATATAAATTTGATTTTCTCAGACTTTTGGCTTGTATGTAAAATCAAAACTGGAGTTCTAAGGTCACAAAGTCGTGTCAGTAAAGTTGTATATATAGACCTACTGCTTCTAGATCAGTGCAGATGATAATTTTTAAAAAAATATTTCTCTCCACAATCTTTTTTTTAGCTACCTCTTGTCCGATTCGTTAGACACATGATTTATTTACGCCTCGCCTAGCTAGCCTTGAAAATCACAGCTAAATCACAACTAGAAAATGTCTAACAAATCGAATACCTCTATATCTTTGTGGCCTGCTGGTATGTATACCTGATAGCGAAAGGTAAACGACATTAGGTTGCAACAATTTAGGAAATACGAAACTAGAGTTTGCCAAATAGATTATCTTGAGTTTGCGGAGAGAGATTTATATTTACATTTTTGTTTCAATTAATATGTTCGGCGGCCGAATTTAAAGAATTTGAGCGGCGGTTTAAATTTAAGCCGCGGTTTAAATATGGTTGGTTCCACTTAAAATTGTATCAAATGTTTCAAGATTTAAGCCGGCGCTAAATTTAAACCGGGTTTTGGCGGATTTTGGCGGATTTAAACCGCGGCTCAAATTCTTTAAATTCCATCTCTGATTAGTAAAAAATAAAGCTTACCAATTTTTCCCATTTTATTAAGTGTTGATTTCCAGAACTCCTGAATGGTTAATTTCCTGCCATTTTGTGTAAAATCTTTTGCTAGAGCCTGGATCAAGGTTTAGTTTCATTTTCGACTAGTTCAAGTGCCCGGCCTTGCCCATGGAATTTTGAAATTTTTTTCCAGCCCGTGAAAAAAATCTCAGTTCCTTTTTCTTGGTCCGAATAAAAATATCTACCCCCTTCCAAATTTTACAAACACTCCCTTTAATTATATTTTGTGACTATGTATTAGAATCCTTTATGCAAATGTTTAGATTTGAGTTTAGGAAAGCTTAATTTTATCTAATTAATGTGTCACCGAGACAACATATTTCTATTTCAAACTTTAAATACACTCACTCACAAACTTCTAAACATTAATTCATCTAAACCTTCTAAACCCTCTAAACCTTCTATACCTTTTAAACCTTCTAAACCTTCTAAACATTCTAAAAATACTAAAACTTCTAAACATTCTAAACCTTCTAAACCTTAATTCATATAAACCTTCTAAACCTTCTAAACCTTAATTCATATAAACCTTCTAAACTTTCTAAACCTTCAAAACCTTCTTAACCTTCTAAACCTTCTAAAAATACTAAAACTTCTAAGCATTCTAAACCTTTAAAACCTTCGAAACCTTCGAAACCTTTAAACCTTTAAAACCTTATAAACATTTGAAAGCTTTATAAACCTACGAAACCTTGCCTCAGATTTTAAGATCAGATCTTCAAATAAACCAACGTTCCAATCCTACGAAAATAAAAATAAGGTATTTTAAATTCAATATTTTTTATTCATATTTATGGAAAAGACTTGGCATAAAAGTGAATTGGTTTCGCCACAAATTTACATTTTAAGCTTTATCTTTGCAATGATGACCTAACGAGTTAATAATTTGAAATAACAAAGGTACACAGTTACTACTTTGGATTCAATAATTAGGGTTTGTGGCAAAAAATAATTTCCTTTATGTTTTCTGAAAAATTCATAATTATTGTTGTATAAGGTTCAGGTTTTATATGATTTTTACTTTAATTTTTATTGTATACATTGTAAATAATTGCCTTTTTGTGTCAATTTAATTCTTTTCAGATTATATGTGATTATAAGTTTAAAGATATTTATATATTTTTTACATTTAAATAGGTACAATGTGCATGTTTGACCAAAGTTAGAAAATACTTGAATAAATTGAACAGATATTTTGTGTATTCGCCAAAGAGAATAGAATATATATTAGAGTGGAATTTACTAAAAAAAAGGGTAAAACGGCCATTTTGTTGTACTGTTTCCATACTGCAGGTGTACTTCACATATTTATGCTATATAATCTTTTGGGCCCTGGAATATCATTTTATAGAAAATCTAAGATTTATGTTAAAAGAAAACCAAATTATGAAATATGGTTTCATAATTGACCAATCATCATTTCACATAGACTCTATGCCTTTCACTTTACAAACGATGATTTTCCGTTATAACTTTAAATCAAATGATGTTTTTATTCACCTAATTCATTAAAAAGTTTATTTAACAGCTTTAAAAATTCTAAATTGCAATAAATAGTCTAGGGAACATGCTGTATTAATGTACTCTACTGCATATAATTTGTGAACACTTACATGATTTGTACACTTTAAACTCCCTTTCAGGCTGAAAGGGACTGAAAAATTCATACCGAGAGATTCTTTAAATTCCCCTCTAATATATATTCTATTCTCTATGGTATTCGCATTCAAATGTGAACACTTTTGTATTTTACATATCTTCTTATTACACAAAAAAAGGATCTTTTTATCTCTGAATCTTTACTTGATTATCTTTTAGTGGATTAAATTTTATATCACCATAAATCCGATAAATTTAAAGTGTATTGAGCATAGATACAGATAGATTGCGCATAAGACGACATTTTTCATCTTAAAAGAAATAAATGTACAAAGATGTTTTAAAGATATTCCTATTATATAGATTAACTAATAACTAGGTCGGTTGTGAACATTAGCTGTTCTTATGTCATTGAGTACTTGTGGTGTACATGAGTTTTGTATAGAGAGAAATTTAAGTTAGTTTAGTCCTTCTCATATCCTTCTTCAGTTCTCGTCAATATGCTATATTGCTCAGTGAAATATTGTTGTTCAAATAGTTCCATTCCCGGAGTTATTTTACACTCTATTATGAAATCCATTAAAACACCAAACCACCCCGCTTATCATTGAAGTACACGTTGACCCCCAGAAGTATGAGTTCTTGGTGATTTTGCGTACATAAGCTATCTATGTTTATTTATTTATCTATGGTATTGAGTTGATATCGAGTTATCGTGAATTACTATTTAAATCATAAGTTTAAACCTCAAAATGGTTGTCGTACTGTTCACCTTAGTTGAATCTAATCTTATCTGCACAAGGCTCAGAAGCATCATACCCAGGGTATTATCAATCGTCTTCTCCAGATAGCTCATCCCAACCTTCTCCCCACCTGCTCTGGGGGAATAATTAATAAATAGGAACTAGGTTTAGGTAAAAGTTAATAAATAGGAAAAGTAGCTCAGCTAGGTTTAGGTAAAAATTTATGAATAGGAAGAGTAGATCAGCTAGGTTTAGGTAAAAGTTAATGAATAGGAAGAGTGGCTTAGCTAGGTTTAGATAAAAGTTAATGAATAGGAAGAGTAGATCAGCTAGGTCATGGTAAAAGTTACTGAATAGGGAGAGTAGTTCAACTAGGTTTAGGTAAAAGTTAATAAATAAGAAGAGTAGTTCAACTAGGTCCAGGTAAAAGTTAATGAACAGGAAGAGTAGTTCAACTAGGTCTAGGTAAAAGTTAATGAAAAGGATGAATAGTTCAACTAGGTCTAGGTAAAAGTTAATGAATAGGATGAATAGTTCAACTAGATCTAGGTATAAGTTAATGAATAGGAAGAGTAGTTCAACTAGGTCTAAGTAGAAGTTAATAAATAAGAAGAGTAGTTCAACTAGATCTAGGTAAAAGTTAATGAATAGGAAGAGTAGTTCAACTAGATCTAGGTAAAATTTAATAAATAGGAAGAGTAATTCAACTAGATCTAGGTATAAGTTAATGAAGGAAGAATTATAAAATATGTATCTAATACAATATTACATATTTAAAAGATAAAATATAATTTATTATTAACAATAACATGGATTTAAGTGATGACAAGAAATATCTTAAATTTCAGAAAAAGGACCGGAGTTATCTAGCTCAAATAGTTTTTAATTCCCTTTTACTTTTATCCATGCAAAATAAAACTAAAAAATTAAAGATATAAGAAAGTATTTCTGATTGAGATTATTATTTTTATTTAATAATTATTCATTACTATTATATCATTGTATTATTATGACTTTTTAAAAAGTTCTTTTAATTATTTTATCCCTCACTTGATAAGCTGTTCTACTACAACAAGCAAAGGTTTGAAAACAACGCTTCCATCTTTTAAGGCATCTTCTAAAGCGGAGTTTAAAGTTTCTGCACTTTGCCTGAACATGAAACATTAAAAAATATAATGCAGTGAAAATCAAAACTTCAGAAACAGGAAGACGACTTTTATGCCCAATTAGGACTTTAATAAGCCACTGCATATTAATGACATAACTGTGTGACCTTGTAGCTCCTCACACAAGAATGAGAAAAGAAAATTATCTGCGGAGTTGAAAATTTTTTAAAAAAATATTTGCTTTTACCAACATAAAATGATCTTAGTTATTATCGTCTTCCTATTCCACAGTTTTCTGGTTCTCGTGCACTGTAGTGTATAGTTTGAAATTTCATCGGGTTTTCGACATCAATGATGCGAAGATATGAAATTATAAAGTAATCGAGTCTTTGCAACAAATCCTTTTATCTTTGTAATCAAACCTTTGATATTTCAAACTATGAATTTTATGAGATGAAATAATCTAATATCAAAAGTGCACGCCATCAGGTTGCAAGCATAAAGGGATTCGAAAATTTGAGTTTGTGGCAAAGACACATTTCCTGAGCCGGCGATTTAAAAATATAAGAAAATACGACTCAGGTCTAAGCTGTCATCGGACCTTCTTTTCGGCTTGAGCTTTCGAATTCAAGCTACATCTTATCACAGAGTTGAGTTCAAAAAACCGGTTTTATTTTCTTTGGGCCTAACTCATAAGTCGAGCCTAAGATATCTCAGCTGTCAATCACGTGACACAAGCTGTCGGTCAGAGTTGAGTCTAAGATTGGGTCTTAAAGCTGGATGTAAGGAAATACGACCCGAGCCGAAACTTTTAAATCGCGGGCTCTGTAGAATTTATTGCGAGATAAAAGATGACTGTGTTTAAAGAACTCTAATTAATTAAAACTTTGCATTAATTTTGTTTTGTAATTTTCACTGAATTTAATGAAAAGATATATTTACCTATACATTTTAGACAAATCATCTATGGCTTCCTTGAGATCACTCAGGGTTTTGGGAGCAGATGGAGAACGACTAAAAAAGTATTCGATATTTTTTAATATGTTTATATTTGACGCAAACTTTAAAAAAAAAACACTAAGTGCAGTCTGCAGACAACTCAAATACGCTAAAAATCATAAAAATATTTAAATTTTACCAAAGCAATTTATTTCATTAAAAAAAATGTTTATCCAAAAGTTTCTTGTTTAGAGTATATACCTTTTAAAAAAGTCTTGTGATATTATTAACCATATCTCATTTGTTTGGAATTTTCGGTAACATCTTCTTACACATATATTTATATGTTCCCTATAGTTCGTATATATGTTCCTTATAGTCGGCCAAACGGCTGGACCGAATGCTGAATTTTTTTCCAGGGAACCCATGGGTATCTAACATAGGCAAAAAAAAAAAATTCAACGCCGCGCACTTAAGCTAGTAAACATTAAAGTCGCAGTCAAGTAGTAATTGGAGAAAAGTCCTATTTCCTAATTCACAACTAGCTTATTAAGTCATGACTTTTTATCCAATGTTCCTGCAGTCAAGATTAATGTAAAAGATAAAAGTCATAGTAAAAAAATATACACATATAAATTCAAATTTTTGGTAGATTTTTTATTATTTAACCCATTCTTACTGGAAGGGGTCCTTCCCTGTAGTTTTTTTTTACATAACTCAAAAAGTATTGGTCTGAGGCTGATGAAATTTTCTGACTTTTCCTAAATACACATAGCCCTCCCTTGTCCAACCGGGCTTTTCTTACTGCCTGAGTTCTCAGGCACAGTGCCTGAATGACTACTTTTTCCTGTAGCAAACTAAATCTTTGTTCTGACCCACTTTCACTTGTTAGATTTCGATCATTTTTAGCTTTATAGAAAGCCTATTGCAAAGAAATTTGAAATGGCATGTTCAAGGAATTTCAAGAATGTAACATATTATTTTTTGGGACATTTTTTGTAAGCATTTTTACTATATAAATGGATTTTTAAAAAAAGTCAGTCTTGCAGACTCTGATTTTTAAGTAAAGCATAATTTAGAGCTTTCCAATGATGTATCATTGGAAATTTGGACATCAAACATGGGTTTAAGAGTGGGGGTTAAATTACCCCCCCCCCCGATCAACCTATCCTGGTTTTCAAGTACCCCAACTGTCATAGGGTTTAATACGCTTTGTGTCTTTATCCCAACTATATGCTCTTTAAACTTTCAAACAAAGATTACAAATGTTGATGGCATAATGCTTTATATTGTCTTGTCTATTTTTTTGGTTTGTTCCGTGAAATACGTCACTTTTAATATCTATACAAAAAAAAGACATACGTATATATACATATGTTGCCTATAGCCGGCCAAACAGCTGGACTGATTGGGGAGAAAATTTTTGTGGAAACTCATGGGTTGTTCCCCCACCCCACGCCATGGGCTAAAAATATTTTCAAAATTTTTTTCCCACGGCGCGGCCCTTCAGCTATTTATACACAAGAAGGAAATAGAAAAAATGCCAATTTCTGAATATATTTTTATATAAATGTATAAAACTGGAATAATGAATAAATAAATGATGGGCGTTTGTTCGTGTTGAAAAAAGAATTAATTAGTTTCCATCAGTTAATTAATACTTAATTACACTATTCATCTAGTCAGACCTAGATAATTAACTCAATATTATGCTTTTTAGGATAATATACAGGGTGAGGAAAATTAGCAGCACGAATTTTGTTTTACACAATTTTTTCACAATTTTTTTTGCTGTTATCAATGTGCAAAAAAATCTTTGTTACGTGTAAAATACGCGAAAAAATGTGTCACGACAATTTTTTCATCTTCCAACATTTAATGATTAATAAATCTGAAGAAATAAAACATTAAAAATTTATTTTGTTTACAAATTCTCATTATTATAAATTACATTTTAGATATCAGAATTGTTTGAATAGAAATTTGTCCATCTTTGTAAGATTTAGAGTAGATTTGTTCTGACATGTTTCGCAGTTTTTTTGTTTTAATTATTTTTATTCAGCAATAGATTTTTTTAGTGAAATAGATTTTTAACAAATCTTCGATACCCCGGGTAGAATCTTAGAGTCTGAAACCTAGTCTTAGACGCCGGGCCGACCTCCTCAGACCCTCTGTTTTTGGAAAAAAATATCAAATTTCACCAAATATATGTAATATGAGCAAAAACCATTAAAATATTTGAGCATTCCTCTC